AAAAACAGTAAGTATAATTTATTTAGGTTTTTATTTATATTTTTTTTAAAAAATTAATGTAATTAATTTTTATTAAGGTTTTTGAAAGATATGGTAAAACTTTTATTACCATTTGAAAGAATAACACGTCAAATTTGTAGAGCTAAATATATTACTTTAAGTCTTATTCACCCTTATATGAAATTATTAAAAAAAGCATTTGTACCTAAACCTGGAGAAAATTATAATACATATCTCAACCTTATTTATGAATCAATTAATAATAATGAAGATGAATCTGATAGTTCAATAGAAAGTGGTGATGATGAAATTCCTTCTGGTGGTTCACGACAGCATTAGCAATATGCATATCGTCAATTTCAAAAAAATATGCAAAGAGCTAAAGAAAAAGAATATGAATATAGCTATAATAATAGAAGAACTCAAAAAAATCCTAAAACTAACTCTCAGTCAGCTAATAATGTAGATATTGATGATATTAATCGTGTAGAATATTTACTAGCTATTAATATTAATGGTCTTCTTCAGAAAGTCTGAGCAGCTATTTTTTTATCATTAGATGAATTGTGGTCTATTCTAACAGAATTAGTTTTAATTACAATGATACTTGATTCTCAGTTTAAAAATTTTTATTGGAATGCTAGTGGTGAAGAAAAAAATAAGTCATATGAATTATTGCAACAATTATATGATTCAAAAAAGATTCTTAAATCTCAACAACCTGCTAATACTCAATGGGCAACGAGCAGTAAAAATAATGATGATAATGATGATTTTTTTAAAGTTTTAGAAAATAATAAAAATTTATTTAATAATGAGAAGGAGGATGAAGTTTTATGTTATATAAAACTTCCACAGGTCGAATGATAAAGAATTGGAATATAAAGTACCAGTTAAGAGTCGAAATTATGTCAGGTTTGATTTTTTACCAGTTCTTACTTTTTTTTATCATTAAATAATCAATATACTAATAGGCCTATAAAGTTCGACCTATAAGATACTGATGATATTTAAAGAATTCTAGGTTTAAATAATTAATAAATTGGTTTTCCGATTACTAATAAATATATTTCCAGTTTATTGTAAATCAATCGAAAGGTATTGGTAAATTATTGAAAATATCCGATATTTGAAACAATAATATTTGATAACTTCATTATATTAAATGGATATTTTACATTTGTTTGTATGAAATTATATATATAATTTATATAATTTCTATTATATAAAATTATTGCGTCACGTAATAAAATTTAAATATGAATCTTCCTATTAATTGGTATTACCGACATGTAATCTTTGGGATTTTTTTTACCTATTGTAAACGATCCTGCCACAAACCGACTCAATATGTTATGGATCAGAATGATACAATCCCTACTAAGTTCAAAAAACTCTTTCTTCCATAGTTCAATGTTACAAGAATTATCGTCGTTGTTAACCCTATAATGAAATCTAGTTCTATGATCATCTGCCAAGCGGTATCATCTTACAAATGCTAAAGAATGTTTTTTAGATACATCACAGAAATGTACTGTATGCTTAAAATAAAATTGAACAATATCGGAATAAATATCTTTAGTATTTCCATGAACAAATTGGGCTAAAATGTTGGCTGATTTTATATGCTGTTTGGAATATGTCGATCCAAAAATTTCTAAGCCGAGTTGTAATCGTCCATAAATATTTACTTTTGGCATTACTGGTATAGAACCAGATGGAGCAATATGAATATTCGACAATGCTACGAAATCTTTACTATAAGCGTTACTATAATATTCGGTTAGCAAAGCTAATATTTCTTTTGTAAGGTTCGTGTCTACCTTTTTTGGATTAAGAAAAGTACCTGGAAAGGATTCTGATCCTAATCCGGCCATTTCTTCCACATTTCTAGACATCGACAAAAACTCTTGGTAATCTATTTCATTGGATTCATCAAGAACTGTAAGACTTCCTATAGTTTCTTTTGGTATTATTAGAGGTAAACATGCCGATAAATGAATATGGTCTTGAGTACATGAAGAATATTGATCGAGAAGGGAATTATATTGAATAGTTTTTATCAATTCTGATTCAATCCTTCTATTACTGCTATGATATGAACCTATAAATATAAAACATTTTAATAATTTAATAAATATTGGTAAATTTAAATAATAATAAGAATATTATAATTACCCAATAAACCATTTATCTGCTCATAGCTAAAACACCAGAATGCATATAATGGCCCGTAGTCTAATGCATAGATGCATATTTAGTGTAATCTTCTCTGACCTATAGTGATTTTTGATAAGTTTTGTCATAAATAAAAGACGTTGATGAGCTTCTTTCAAGCCATTCTTAGATATAGATCTACATACAAAAATATTGCATGCACGAACAAAATTGGCAAGAATCATTCTATTCAGTTCTTTAAGTAGATCCCATGTAATAGAAGTTGCATAAATTAAAATAAATGTCTTCCACTAGTCCGCAGTAAACCCGAAAAAACCTTCACCTGTAACAATCTTGAATAGAATTCTACCAATATCTGCCAGAATTTTTATAGATTTTGCCTTAGTTTGCATTATTTTCAGATCATTTTGATTTAATCAGCCTTCTTCAATCCATAATCATGTCACTATCCATTTAGAAATACCTAAAAATAAACAATGCATAGGATCTACTATGAGAAATCGTATCGAATCAAAATACCGAAGACAGTATATTTCGGACTAACGTACTAAAGTATTACGAACATGGTCTTTTCTGGCTTCATTAGTATTACAATTTAACCACCCTAATGCATCTTTTCGAACTTGATTGATGTCTCTTCCGATAAACCATTCATTAATATCATCAAATCCACCAAAATTTGGTTGATTACGACTATCATATTGGGCCCTCTTTAAATATCTATAGCAAGCTACACGTGCAGATATATGACCGCAAAGTTTCCTTGCAGCTGGAATATCACAAGAGCAACATATTACTGCAGCCCGAATGGTTTTGCCATTAGAATTTTCGTATGATACTGATAATTTAACCCTTTTCACAATTCAATTAATTGATCGATTAAAGGAGCTAAGTAATGATTCAAATGATGTAGGCTTGGTTCATTTGGTCCAGGAATCAGCGCCATTGTCAAAATGTTTGATGGTTTAAATCTCTCGCTTCTTGGAAGATTACAG